GTCTATGTCTAGACACGGGGAGCGTCCCTGAGAAGGCACTCCTCTAGGAGGGAAGGCCTTGGGAGCCTAAGGGAGCTGGGGCCAGGGTGTGTTCCTAGTTCTGTGCTTAGACCTCAGCCTCCCCCTCCTCCCACACAAGGCCACCTACCCTCCCATTTTGATGCCAGAAATACACTGACCCATTGAGCCACAGCAACCCCGGAGTTCTAACCCAGCTGTGAAGAAAAGGTATCTCACCCTGGCTGGTGAGGCTCATGGGAGCAAGTGCCAGCCCGTGAACCAGAAGGTTGCAGGTTCCATTCCCAGCCAGGACACGTGCCTGGGCTGCGGGCCAGGCATCTGACTGGGGGTGTTGGAGAGGTAACCAATGTTTCTCTCCCTCTTTCTCTAAAAATATATTTTTTTTTTTTTAAAGGCATCTCAAACTCAAACCTTTGCTTGAAAATCTTCCTGCTCATGCATTCTCACCGACATCAACTTACAGGTTGAATGTATGAGAACAGATTTTTGTTTCAGGTCTTCTGTGTAAACCCTTAAGGGCTTGTGCACTATTGTATACAAAGCATGGGGTAATACCCTCGATATGACATTTCCTGGCAAATGAGTTTTAATGTTTGGGAAAAGATGCACAGACCACAAATTAATCTTCTAAACTGTATTTGGAACTGACAAAACATTTGGGATGGAAAATCCTTCTAGAGACAAAGCCCTGAGCACAGAGTCTGTCCCCAACCACAAAGTGTAACATCGACCGTACAGAACAAAAAGCAACAAGCGATCTTTGGCACTAGAATGGGTGATCCTTAGCTGTTCATACAATATCCAAACTATACACCATGTAACATTAGAGTGATTGTTGGCTGCTGGTTAATAGTTGAATTTTACATTTAAATTATCTTAAGTTGGAAGAGTCCTAGCTAAGTTTTTCAGTATCAATATTCTAACCATATCTAACACTTAGTGCCTGAGGTAGAGATTTCTGTAAGAGATTTATTAAAGAAACAATTAAGAATACAATAAAGAGAAAGATTTCCAATCTTGAAGGCATATAGCCAAATGTTTTAGTTGATTCAACAAGCCAAGCCTGAAATGCAGAACTCTTTTATTTCTGCAGATTTGGCACAAGAGTAGGACTTTCTTTTGTTTGAACCCCTGGGTTTGGGAATATTATGGATTGCTTCTTTAAAAGTATTATCATCACGAACTGTGCAAGGCCGAAACTGATTTGACATCATTATTCAAAAACACAACTGCATTAGCAACAACACATAAAATCTTTTAAACTCTCCATGATGCGTGGTCAGAATGAGTGACAAGTATGCAATTCAACCCAATGATTCTAGTATTTGATGGTGACTGTGAGTTATTACAGATTTATAATATATAGGTGAGTTGCAATTTTGTTTCCAAACTCTGTACAGTATAGGTATAGGGCTTTTATCATTTTCAGGTGGTAAGGCTCTTTATGAGATTACATGATTTTATAAAGATAAAATAATCTAATACCAGGAACCTTTCTATTAAAATGACCAGCAACTGTGTATCTTCAACTTCAGGTAATTTTCTTCAGTGAGGAAAGACCTTTCCATTAGAAAAAGGTATTTATTGACGTTAAGTTCAAGTATAACATATCTGCCTTTTACCGAATGCTGGCTGCCCAAAATTTTATCATAAACTATTCAAGTTATTTTTAGAAGTGTACTGTCTCTTGTGAGACAGAAAGCACAGAGATGGACATTCATAAACTTAGGGTTAAAGAATAGGTATAGCTAAGAGGAATAACATTAATTCCATTCTTGACATCAACTGCTTAGAGCAAGTGTTTTAAGCCATCGCTGGTTCCTACGATCAAGAGCGCTGAAGGGCTTTTACTGCCACCACAGTTCTTTCAGCTTCTTTTTCTTGAAGCTCCAAGGTCAGGACAAATGACCAATAATAGTCTTTTAATACCTTTTATTACAGGCTTGGTTTAACTACTTTGTAACACTTCTGAGAGGTAAGTGGCTCCTGAGACTTGGAAAGTAAACTGCCCCATCTCATCCCAAGAAGAAATGACAGAATTAAGGTACCTAACGATTTTTTTTTCTTTAAAGATATAGGTGTCCTTCCAAAAGACATGTAGGAATCCTAATCTTCAGAAACATTTTAGATGGTAAAGTTCCTTTTTATCAAAGTAATTCTATAGACAATAGAAATTATTAGTCAAGGAAAATCCCCAGAAAAGCTGACTTCAAATGAAAGAACACACTTGTGGTTTTAGGTGAAATATCAAAACAGGCAAAACTAAACCACCAAGCAAACTCCAAGCCACAAAATGTATATTTAACATTTCTTTAGGGGGAAATATTATCTTTCTCCTGAAATTTGAACCAAGAAAAAAGCCTGTTCATTTTACAAATCTCTCTGAATGACAGATTTTAAGGAAGATAAGCAAAGAACACACCACAGCTAAATAAATCCAACAGTATGCTAAGGTATATAAACATGATGATTGCACCCTGATTCTAGTATGTGAAGAACTAAACACTCAGCTTCTATTTAGAGAAATATCATGACAGAGCATATCTTACACGGCAATTCAAAGGGATGTGATTTTGACAGGGAAAAAAATGCTGGTAGGCTTTTTATACAATTATCTGCAAGTTCCAGAACAAAAGCTGGAATATTTTTATAGACTCAAGGTAGACCCAATCAATGGGTTAAGCTAGACACTGACAAGGCCATCTTCTTAACGTAGGTTCACAGATGTCATTGGGGAAAACGGCTTTGGCAAACTCCGCAAAGGCTGAAAGAAACATACTAACAGAGCAGTGAGAGTTGAGAAGCCCATGCCGTAATTAAAACTGCAGTGAGAGACTAGAAACAGACTCTTAAATGCGTGTGCACCCGCGAAGCGACTCAGGGCATCTTTCCATGCACTTTAGGAAGGAGAACACAGACCGAGGCGCAGAAGACGGCACTCCCCTCTGAGCAGGCTGACGGCAGCACCAGGGCGCCGTGTGCAGAAACTGAGGGGTGCTTCCGGCGCCGAGGGGCTGCCCAGCATTGCTGCCTGGCTCCTTCCTTCTCCGGCAAGCCCACCCCCAGCCTTCCTGCAGGCAAAGCCATGCCGCTCTCCTCCAGGCTCTGAAGACATGGACTTGAGTGTATGTGTATTTTCTATCCTTCAGTTAAGAAATCTGCTTGAAGCTCCAGCGACGTAAGAATTAACCGGGAGTTCTTTAGCTTAGCTAGGCTTACGTATTTAAAATCTTGCCTGTTTTCTTAGAATAATCATTTTAATTTCCTTATTAAATATTTGGTTTGAAGGAAGCAGTGCACGTCTATTAATTATGCAGGATACATACAAATTTTCCAAAGTTTCCCCCTTCAGTCTCACCTGACCTTATTTTTTGCTTAAGACATTTAGAGATGCCGAGGAACTTCTCTAGTTCAAAATTTATAAACTACAAAAAAAAAAAAAAAAAAAAAAAAAATTGGCAGCAAAATAAAGGTAAATACATGGCTAGAAGAATAAGCTTACATTTTCTTGAGTTTCTTTTGTTTGAAGGTGGAAATGAGAGAAATGCAAAGGAGAACAAAGAAAAAAAGAAAAAGAACTCCACAAAGGTGCTGCTCTAGAATTGTCCTAAATAATGGAAAACTGGCATTTTAAAATTAAGACATAAGAAAATAATATTTTTGGAATTTCAAAGTCAGAGGTGGCTTGTGATAGTTCCTATTGGAAAAGAGTGAGGCACCCGAAAAATGCTCCCTGGTGAAGCCAAAGGTCCTTCCTTTCTGCCTTTACCGAGCTCTTACCCAGCAGCTCACAAACTGTAAGACAAATGACGTGAACATGATGGGAGAGCAAAGTTCTCCAACTTAACCCAAGGTTAAAAAAGGAAACAAAATACTGCAAAGTATGAGTGTTACGTGAACATTAATGTTTGCCATTGACAAATGGATATGCTTACTGATATATTTGTAGGGAATAAATACTGAATTCTCTTTAGGTCTATTTACAGATAAAATACCTGGTCTGACTGGTCTTCCACATAGAAACCTACTCTGGCAAAGTGTGAAAATTATAAAAATTCCACAGTAAATTATAAAAAATAAGGAATTTGCATTCAGGTCTTCCGCCACAGGCAGCCCAAGTAGCCTTGAGCATTCTTAGCTTACGAGGAAATGTTTGTATTTCTAATGTTAACATACGAGGAAATATCCATCACTGATTTCTTAAGAAACTAGAGAGAAGCAGGTTTCTGGACAGAGACTTAAGGCAAATCAAACAGGTCCAGAACTAAACATCCTATTAGGGCTCATTTTCCAAGTGTGGCTTTGCTTTGTGATAGAGGAATCTTAACAATAATTCTAACCGAGCTCTCACACTGCTACAGAACTTGAATTATATACACACCATCAAAGCACGTACTGGCAATGCTTGATATTTAAAGGAAATCTGCAGTGAATAATTTGTCTCCTTTGAAAATACAAATAGGTTTTCAAAGACTAGATAGAGCTCTGGGCACATGAATGAGATTCAAAGATTTCTCAAGTCCAGAAGGGAAGATCTCAGCCTCCTTCTACTATGGACTTTCTGAGACTGAGATCGGAATTTCTCCTCCTCCTCACCTATTGGAAATCATCCCTGCAACACAAGAGGCACTTTTATTAGGTGTAGCATCTATTATAACTTGAAACCTAGGGTACAATTTGTTGAACAAAGTAATAACACTAGCCTAATAGGCATTACCTTGGGACTTTTCCCCCTTTAATATAAAAGTATAACTACAGTGGTCCAATGTACAAGTACAAAAAAAAGTTCTCATACTAAAAAAAAAAAAAAAAAAAGTTCTGTAATACTGTACATACAAAAACTGTTCAACAAGAATGATTTACATATATCCATTCTTTTCCAGATCTGGAAGACACAGATGTAAAGTTCTGAAACTGTATTATTACTGCAACATGTCTGGAACACGTGCCCAGGAACACTGTGTTTCCCTTCTTTTTCCCCTGTCCCAGCCCTGCCTTCAGAGTCCCCTGAGCTTGGATCACAAGCCAACAGCATCCCTGAAGATAACCAGAGCCAAATGTTTACTCAATGGAAGTCATTATTCAGTGAGCCGCTGCTTACCATAAACTATGAAAAGCACAAGTTTTGAGCCCAGCCAAGATTAAATCCAGACGGAGGTCTTCCCATTCCCTGATTTGCTACTTGCACTGCTTTTGTTGGACCCAGCCTTGGAGCCCACTTTGGCTTTTTTTTCCCGGGGAACATGGGGGTTGTTTTGGTGGCTGTAGGCCTGGATTGCTAGGTCCAAGCGCTCCTGAGCCATCCGGATCTCCCGCTGCAGAGTCTCCAGGTCAGCTGGGAGGTGCTCCTCCTGGCTGCCATACTGCTGTTCCTGGGCGATGTTGGCTTTGTTTTGCTTGTAGGCGATCTTAGCATTGGACAGTTCGGTGTACTGGATCTGATCTGGTTTGACAGCAATGTTATAGCCAGGGGGAGCAGATGGTGTATTCCAAGTGAAAGGATAATTATAAACACCCGGGTCTTCCAGTTCCCTCCTTTTACTGTTCAATGAGTCTCGGATTGTCCCAAATCCTAAATGAAGCATCTCCCAAATGTTAAGCATCAGGCAAAGGCCTGTCACACCATACATTATCAGAAGGAAGATGGTCTTTTCAGTGGGTCTAGAAATAAAGCAGTCTATCTTATGAGGGCAAGGAATTCGACTGCACACATAAGATGGATGGACTTGGAAGCCATAGAGAAAATACTGCCCTATCAGAAAACCAACCTCAAACACGGTCCTCGCCAGCAACTGCAGCACATAGATTTTCATGAGACCATCCTCCCGAATCCGCCGTCGGCCATCATGCTTGGGTTTAGGTTGGTTCTGCTCTTTAGTTTCTTTTTCACTTTCTAATTCCATTTCTGGATACATCATGGGATCCTCTTCATGATCCTCTTCTGTCTCTTCGAGGGCCCGGTGCTGTTTCCAACGCATCGCATAGGGTTTACTCCGGGCTGCCTTCTTGTCTGCTTCACCATGCTCCATCTTGGCAATCTTATGGATGGCGTAGCCCAGGTACATCACCGAGGGGGTCGCCACCAGGATGATCTGGAACACCCAGAAGCGCACGTGGGAGAGGGGCGCAAAGGCATCGTAGCAGACGTTCTCGCAGCCGGGCTGCTCTGTGTTGCACACAAACTTGCTTTGCTCGTCGTAGTAGATGGACTCCCCTCCTACAGCTGTGAGGACAATCCGGAAGACGATCAGGACGGTGAGCCAGATCTTCCCCACGAACGTGGAATGGTTGTGGATCTCTTCCAGCAGGCGAGTCAGGAAGCTCCAGCTCATGGTGACTGAGCAGGCTTTCCCTGATAAAAATGGAAAAATACCAAGGGAAATCAACAAATACTAAGATTTTAACAATTAGGTTTTTTACTGATATCTCTAGGAACTATTTTTCTGCATACCTGAAATATAACTTCAAGGCTCATACTAGAAAGATTGTTAAAAACAAAGAGCATCTCACTCTACTACCCTTGGATAGGACAATTCACCTCAGTCTATCAGCACTTGTTTGGACTACCAAATTAAGGTGTGGTTTGCTTTCATGTCTTCCCTAGTTTAAAAGGTAAAATTGTAGCCATTATTTTAGATCTATTTCTCAGACACAGTACACTGGATTCTTCACACAAGCTATTATTTCATAAGGCTTTCAGAACTTTGTGAGAGACAGATAAGAAATAAGAAAATCTTTGGTCCAGTCATAAAACCCCTGAGAACATAAGGGAGGCACTTCGGCTAGACACCATTGTGAAGAAGCACCTTACTAGGAAACTTAAATTTTAGACCTGTGGACAAAGTATTACAAGTAATTAAAAAGGCCCTGATTGGTGTGGCTCAGTGGGCTGGGGCATCATCCTGCAAACCAAAAGGTTGCCTGTTTGATTCCCAGTCAGGGCACACGGCTGGGTTGTGGGCCATGTCGCCGGTTCAGGGCACATGAGAGGCAATGATCAATGTCTCTCTTGTACATCAATGTTTCTCTCCCCTTCTCCCTTCCTTTCCCTCTAAAAATAAATAAATAAAATCTTTAAAAATAATAAAAAAGGCCCTGGTTGGCCCTGGTCAAGTGGCTCAGTTGGTTGGAGCATTGTCCCATACACCAAAAGGTTGTGGGTTCAATCCCCTGATGGGGTGTGTACAGGAGGCAACTGATCGATGTTTCTTGTTCACATCAATGTTTCTCTCTCTAAAAATCCATAAAAACATATCCTCAAATGAGGATTGAAAAAAAAGGCCCTGGCCGGGTAGCTGAACTGGCTAGAGCATCATCCCAATACACAAAGGGTGAGGGTTTGATCCCTGCTCAGGCACATACAAGAATCAATCAATAAATAACATAAATAAGTGGAACAACAAATTGATGTCCCTCCCCTCTTCCTCTCTCTAAAACACTCAATTAAAAATAATAATAATTAAAAAGATTCTGTATTATGTTTCTGTATTAACTTTATGGTGAATGTTAAAAAATGTCTGCAAATTGAATTGTGAGGACATTAAATACAATCAACAGGCAAATTCATTTAAAACAGCATTTTGAAGGATAATTTTTTCCCCAAGATTCTTGAACTATGTCCAGAATCCTGGAAAACCATCTAAATACGGTAATATATATAAAATCCCTAATGTCACCCTTGACAGTAAGTACACCTAGCTTTTCTCCTTCCCTCTCCCAGTTTACTTCTGCAGATTATAGGTGATTATCAGCATTGTCAAAGAAGTTTAAATACACTTTACCTGTTATCCAGAACTTCTGCTATCCAAAATTTTCTTACAGAAATGCTGTCTTGCTTACAACTTTTCCAGATTCCCTCTGGAAAGGGGGAAAAAAAAAAAGATCATAAGCTTTCTCCCACAGAAAACAATGGCTCAATAAAATGTCATTTTCAGGAAGAAACGAAGTTTTCTATGTGCCATGGAAATCAATCAGCATGATACAGAAACAGGCTTGAGTTTGAATACTAATGGTTTCTCCTACCAATATATGTGGTAGGAGAAACTTCACAGCGGTGACCCAAAGACTCTTAAGACACTAGCATAAGATATAGTCTAAGACAGTATGACAGGAAGATGAGTCACTTGTGAAAGTCTAAAGCAGATGACCTCATGCACCTATAGGAAAAAGCCAAAGCAGAAAAGTCTCAACAAATTTAAACGGTCACTAAAGGCCTTGTGAAAACCCTCACTCCATATAACTCTATTCCTGCGCTATCCCCAGAGCAGCCAATACTTCTCACTGGGGAGTGAGCAGCCAACTAGGAGCAAGCTGTTGCGTTAAAACACCCAACAGCTGGTTCTCAGTCACTGGGACACCCATGTCCAAAGGAGGGAGGAGGTGATTTACATATTCAACTGCTCACGGAAAGAAAACAGCTGCATCTGTGTTGTGGTTATAAAAATAAAACAAAATAAAAAAAATTCCGCCCTGGCTGGTATGGCTCAGCGGTTTGAGTGCTGGCCTGCAAACAGAAATGTTGCTGGTTCGATCCCCAGTCACAGCACATGCCTGGATTGTGGATCAGGTCCCCAGTTGATGGAATGGGAGAGGCAACCGATTGACATATTTCTCACACATCAATGTTCTTCACTCTTTCTCCCTCCCTTCCCAACTCTCTTTAAAAATGAATAAATAAAATCTTAAAAAAATATCCAAGACAAATTATTGCTCATTATCAAGTTCTGCCAACTTTGCATAGCTACCGCCAAGATCCATCCATTAGACCCCAACTTTGTTCATTTATTTAATAACTTAAATTTAAACAATTCCTAAGTGTTACGTGTTCATAGTAACATAAAAATATTTTGGGTGGGATAAGAGGAAGGAAAGAAACCCAAAATAATTTTCAAAAAGCCAATGAAAAGGAGGAAAAAAGTGCAGCACCTACAGACATGTAAGTATCAGGATTCACGAACAGAACCTGACTACACAAAGAGTGCATCACAGGGTTTCAAGAACTCCCATGTCCGGCCCTCTTGCCCAGCTGAGCTCACCACTTCTCCTCTCGCTGAACACATGTTATAAAACCACAAAACAAGAAGTATGCAACATGCGGCCATTAAGTGGTGATCATAAATCAGGTTTCCATTATGAAACACCACAATTACTCACACTCACAAGTTCGGACTCGGCTTTCCCCCAAATACCACATCTAAAGCGCTTGAAACTCTATTGTCCAAATATGCCAAGATCATGAAAGTACAACTGTCACTTGCTTAGAAAAGTTATCTCTATACCTCCATCCATACCAAAGGTATATTTTTAAAATAATTATTGCTATGAAAGAATTACTCAACAGTTCGGCATCTCATACAATAATCTTAACACTTTTGTGGGGAGAAGAAATTGGTAACAAGCCCTTCAAAGCTTATGTTAGATATGAAGTAGCCATTTAAACACACCTGAAAGCACACACTGTACACTGGTTACGCTGTGGGCCTAGAAAATGCTGAACCCTTAGAACCTGCTTTTCCATGGGCATTCCTAAGGGCCACAGCACCCTATATCCAATGAGTATAAACGATGTGTTTAATAACTTAGCTCCAGCTCCAAACGGGTGATGGACAATTTTCTTTCTGAAATAAGCATGGATTTCCTAAACTCAGTGGCAGCATCACCACTGTTTTTATCTTCTGAGGAGTCAGTAGGTTTTTTTTTCATACTTTTTTCCCTCTCCCTGTGAGCACTGAGAATGGTACGTATCACAGAACACATTATTCCAAAGGAGGCGGGGCGGGGAACGGTGAGAGGAGGAAGGTGGTGGGGAGAACGGGGGATTGAGTGAGCAGGACGGTGGGGTTCTGGAGTTAACATTCTAAGCAGAACTTGTCACTGCCAAGTGCGGTCTCATTGTGTTCCTGCTCTGCTAATGCACCGAACTTTTTTTTTGGCGCTCTGCTATCAGAAGCCTATGATTCAGGACATGGTCTTCTCTGGCTTCCAAACAAACTTGGTAATAGAACAGGGAGAGAAGAGGATGAGATTAACCTGTAAATGATTAAACCCCTCATTGAAAAATTAAAAACCATTTCCATACTCCATCTATGAACAGAAAATGACGCGGGAACATGTCAGGTGCTGGTGAGAGATGGGGGAATGAATGCTAACCACCCAAATATTTAGGCAAGTCCAATTGATTTATATGTGCTTTTATACTTAAAATCTTCTTGAATATATCCTTTAAGCTTTGATTTATCTACAAATTCTAGTAAGTGGTGTTATTAAGCCCAAGAAATGTAAATCTGCATAGTTCTTGCTTTGTACTGTCACTGGACTTTCTAAAGCAGTCCTAGCAATTGACAATGCCTGGCAACATACGATTACAATTTCACTTCAAACACATCAGCAGTCTGTTATACTACAGTATTTCAAAATTATGTTAATTTGTATGTTTTTAAAAAGATTTTTATTTTTTAGAGAGAGGGGATGGGAGGCAGAAAGAGAGGGAGAGAAACATTGATGTGCAAGAGAAACATGGGTCAATTGCCTCTCACATGTCCCCCAACCAGGTACCTGGCCCACAACCCAGGCACACGCCCTGACCGGGAATCAAGTCTCAAGTCGGTTTGTGGGACAAGGCCCAACCCACTGAGCCACACCAGTAAGGGCTCAATTTGTATGTTTTTAATACAGCAGGACACACATCCTCCATATTCTGTTCCCTTCACTGTGAGCTAGTTTTATCCTTTTGCTCATTTATTTGCAAAACGTATTTTTTAAAAGATTTTATTTATTCATTTTTAGAGAGGATAAGGGAGGAAGAAAGAGAGAGAGCGAAACATCAATGTGTGGTTGCCTCTTCCATGTCCCCTACTGGGGACCTGGCCTGCAACCCAGGCATGTGTCCTGACTGGGAATCGAACAGACAACCCTTTGGTTCACTGGCAGATATTCAATCCACTGAGCCACACCAGCCAGGGCTGTAAAATGTATTCTTAATACAGACATTAACCATTTGACGTTTAATATAAACACCTTATTTTATTGTCTTCTTTCAGATTTTACTGTTTTTATATAGTTGTATCAGTCAATTTCTTGAATAAATTAAAGGGGGGATGTTACTTTTGAGGATGGCTTTAAAAAATCTTTGTTATAAATATATCTATAAATTTAAATTTTCAATTACAGCTTACATGCAATATTATATTATTTTCAGGGGTACAGTATAGTTGTTTGACAATTATATAATTTACAAAGTGATCTCACCAATAATTCAAAAGGACGGCTTAAGTCAAGAATACTGCAAAATTCACTGTAGCCCATAATTCAGAAGGATTCTCTCTCTCTCTCTCTCTCTCTCTCTCTCTCTCTCTCTCTCACACACACACACACACACACACACACACCCAAATACTGGAGAAAAATCATGTTTTCTTATGTAACATCTACTGGACAGAACTCAAATGCGTTATTTTTAGTCTGTTTTCCAAATAACTAAAGTTACAAATCTTCCCTTTCTTGCACTAGAAAACAAATAAAAAAAATTAGTTGGCAGTTGTTGGGGTGGGGGCAGTGGAGAAAGGTAGAGGGATTGAGCAAAAAAAGGAAAGAAAAAAGAAAAAACCTACAGACACGATCAGCAGCGCGTAAGGACCGCCGAGGTGGGGAGCGCGGAGGAGTCAGGGGGTACGTGCGGCTGGGCGGGACTTGACTCGCAGCGCTGAAATGCAGTGCAGGAGGCTGCGCTGCGGGACAACGCGCCCACGCACCCACGCGCCCACGCGCCCGAAACCTGGACAGTTTTGTTAGCCAGTGTTACCGCGGTAAATTCAATTAAAAAGAGGGAAAAATTAGTTGGCATCAACATGGTAATAAATTATGTAATTCCCTCCGAAATTCTTTATATTTGAAGAGTTTCTATCAGTTACATCCTAACAGGATCGAGTCAAAGTTACAGCATTTTTCTATAAAATAGACCTCACTGGATTTTTGAAGATTAAGTGTACATTATTTGGATTATCTTAGGAGGTAGATTATATAATTAGATCCATTTTAAAATTAAAGAAATGAGGTCCAGAAAGCTTATGAAATTTGCCTAAGATTACCACATTATGAAGTGACTAAGCCAGAAGCTGAAATCAGCCAGTCTTGCTCCAGAACCTGGGCTCTTTAACCACTAGTAAAAAATCACATTACAGATGGAACTATGTATAGGTTCCACATAAACACAGAAGAGGTGACCTTATCCCCTTTTTTTGGATAAAAATTAAATAAAATAAGCCTGCAAAGATGAAAGGGAGAAATTTCAGTGTTTAAGATCTTATAATGTAAAATTATAATTGAAAATTAAAAAACAAACAAACAAAAACCAAATACTGCAGAACTCCAAGGTTTCTTGGTAGTCAGGAGGGAAGAATAAAAGCAAAAAATAGTATCTTAAACAAAAATGACTTCATTTAGAAGGATAACTTATTTAGGCACTGAGAACAGAGACTAGAGAATTTTGTAAACTCAGTTCAGGGGACACCAAGCCTGCGATGTCAATACCTGTTAGAGGGAGACACGCAGATGGTGTCCACAGGAAGTGCTCAGAGCCGCGTCTGGTCTCAAGGCAAACTCCGTTATCTCCATTACTGCCAGTGCTGCCGCAACGCGCTGTCTTTCAGACATGCAAAAGCCAAAAGAAGTCAGCTTCAGCAAGCCAGCACTATACGGAATATCGAAAGAATCATTTCAGGCAAAAGAAAAATGACATCAGATGGAAATTTTAATCTATACAAATTTAAAAAATGTAACTATAAAAGACATCTGACATACTCTTATTTTAAAATATTCTTTAAAAGATAACTGGCTGTTTAAAGGGAAAGACACAACAA